TTGTTTCTAAGTTTGAGGTAAATAATTTTTTAGTCCCTTAAATTAAAAAATTATTTCAATCTCTCGAATTTAATAAAATATAGTGTTAATATCTAAACACTACATTTGAAAGTTAAAAATGGTTTTAAAAAATTTATTTAAACATTTAAATTTACTATTTAGAAAATAAATCGCTCTTTTTTTCAATTTTGATATTCAAATTTTTACATGTTTTTTTTTCAGTTTTAATGAACTAAAATATTTTTAAAATATTTAAAAAACTAAATCATAATAACTTTAAATTTTAAGGATTAAAAAAAATTGAAACCATTTTTTTTATTAAATATAACATCTTGTTTTAGAGTTATCTCTTTTCAGTAAGTGTTATTTCAAAAATAAATTAAACTAAATTTAAAAGTTGAATTGTTTTTCTTATAAAAGCGGTTTATGAGAAATTTGTAGAAAACCAAAAATTTTAAACTTAATTGTTATTAAAAACTAGAGTTGAATTAAAGAATTACTCAGCCCAAAAATCCATAACTACATGCATATATACTTTACAAGACTTTTTTTTCTTTTTAAAATCAAATAATATAATTACTTAGATATTTATACATCAATTTAAATAAAAGGTAGCTAACAAAAAATTTCGTCATCCTAAACTCCAAACCTAATCTTATAAAGATCTATCACATACATAATTTATTTTAGTGTAAAATTAAGAATATCATAATATATCAATATACAAACGTAAAATATATAGGATAAACTAATAATTTAATCTGATTCATATATATTCATAAGATAATCATTCATCTTATTTTTATGTCATCGTATCAAATGTTTATACATATAATAAATTTATTAACCAACTCAAATATTAAATGATTTCTGAATACATAATATAAGACTACTTAAGACATTACATGTTATTATTTAGGATGATAGATTTCAAAATACTTGATTCATTGTTAACGAACACGAGTCTCATTAAGTAAGATAAACTTTCTTTAACTTCCACCAATTGTTCTTTTTATTGATATTCCACATATCATTAGAGTTATAATATCTCTCAATCAATACTTAATTCAATGTCCACGTATTACATCATACTTATATAGAAATACCTCTATTGCATACACTATACTACAATAAATTGTTAATCTTTTTATACACACAAAGACAATAAAACACTTCATTAAAGTATAAACAAGTTTAACATTTATAAAAACTAAATATGTGATTTACATTTTCTAAAAGCCAAAGAAATCATTTGAATAAAATTTGATACTTTTATTCACTACCTAAATTTGGGTGAGAAAACTTATCATGAAACATCACTTCTCATTTTTTTTTTTTTTGCATAAATTTCATTGAGTGTGTTAAGGTTCCACCATAAAACTAATTGGCAATATGTGGAGTAGCCTAACATGTATTTAAACCATAACAAATGATATGAGGTATGCGATGTGGGACTTTCAACAGAGTGAAAATTTATTTCAAAATAATCATCATAAAAAATTTTCCTTGAACTAATGATTTTTCAAAAATATTTTTATTGATTTTCCTCCCATCATATAAATACATATATTTTCTAGACAGCCTCTTTATACTCAATGAAATTACATGTAGAATAAATTATAATTCAATGATAAATATAATAACAATATAATAAAATACATAAACAAACATTATAGAATCTACATACTATAAAAAAAATACTTAAAATATATGAAACCCATTGCATTCAAAAGTCTTCTATATGATTTTCTTTTATCGAAGATAGATAGTTGAATATCTACAAATTCAACATTATTTAATCTATAAATAATAAAAATACTAAGGTGAAAATACAAATTTAACTAAGTTATTCTATAATTGAATTTTTGCAAATTCTTATTTAACTAAGGTACTTATTATATTATCTTCTTCCATGAGTCATGTTAGTAAATATGATTGTATACAAGTGTTTCATCACATAATATCCACACTGATGGTTTTCCAACTTATGTGAATGATGAAAAATTCAAACGTGAGTCTTAATCCTACATTAACTAAAAATGAAAAAGTTGAGTAATATATAAAGAAGAAAAACCTATAACTCAATATCTTAAGGTTTTTTGTTAAAAATGATGTCAATCCTTTATGTGGATTGAATTTTGTGTCTGATTATTATTATTTCTCGTTTGTGAATCCCTATTAGGTACAACATACCATAGTTAGTTCTTAGCAAGTTTTAGAAGCCCTCTTAATCTAAAATATGCTTTGATAACTTTATGTCAAATAATGTAAATTAAATTGTATTATATAAGAATTTTATTAATATTAAGTTGCATAATTAATAAAATATAATTGAATAAGAAACTTACGAGTCTATTATATTCATAATGATCAAGGTGTTAGATTCTTGTGTAATGAATATAATAGAACCACTATTTGAGGGATAATTACTAATAGCTACCAATAATCCATGCAAGTTGTAATATTATTAGTAATAATTAAATTTTAAATTAATTAACAATCATTATTGTAGTAATAAAATATCATTATTTGGGATTGAATTCGTTAGTACTAGATTACTACTTTATGTAATGTTGAGTAACTGAACATTGGATAAATATGATGAACATAGAAAGAAAGCAAAATTTCAATCAATATAAGAAATGTTAGACAATTGATTTCATACATTTCCTATATATTTCTACCCTTTTCAATTGAAGCAATAATTGTAATTATCCACTTGAATGTATTAAGAGCTTATTTACCCCTAATTCTTTAGATAGGTAAACCTATTCATTAAATTCTAACCACCAATCCTTAGGCCAGTTACAAAATTTAATAGAATAGTGAAGAACAATTATCGTCTCAAATGCAAACTAATTATATATGTCAAATTTTCCAATTATGACAAAAATTAACCTTTTCTATTTATAATCACAAGCAATTCTCAATCTCCCAATTGTGAAAGCTCATAGAAAAAACATTCAAACAACAAATAGAAAATTGAGATAATTAAAATTAATTAACTATCAATTATCAAGGTTCAGAAATTATAATCCAAAGTATTACATCAATCCTCCACTAGAAAAGAAAATTTAGTTTTGCATACTTTAAAAGCAAAAAACTAAAAGAAGAAGAAATTGATATGTGTCTCCAAAATCCCCCATCTCCGTCTCTAATATGTTTTTTTTTATCAATTTCCCTCTTGAGTGGGTGGTTACACTTACTTGATAACCAGTGGCGAATCTTCTTGGGAGTCGAGGGGGTCGTGCCCCCTCCCTCCAAAGTTTTGTAAATCTCATGTAATTTATGATTTTGGTCCCCTAAACATAATGAATATTTAATATATTTACTTGTATATTTACAATTTTATCCTCTCAGCCCCTCCTCAATTTTGTAACTCTCGTATAATTTATGATTTTGTTCCTCTTATACTTAATAATCATTTAATATATTTAAGTATATATCTAGAATTTTATATTTTCACCATTTCATCTTCTTTTTTCCTTTTATATTTATTTATTATTTATTAATAATATATTATTTGGTCCATCTAAGATCAATGGTCAAGATCCGCCACTGTTGATAACCGTAGTCCACGAAACATTAAAAGAAACTGCTCTTGGAAAAATTCATGTGTTGTGAAAAAATCCACACTTCACTTATGAAACTCTCTGGCTTAAATTTGACCTTCTCAGAATAAATCCAAGGTTGTGGAGAAATCCATAACTCACTTGTGGAACTCTATGTTTTACTTTCTTTATTATTGACATCAATTCCCTCTAAAGTGTTATTTCAAGACTTAAAAACACTTGTTTACAAGAAAGACACAAAAATTCAAATATATAATCTAAAATAGAGATAACACATGATGTAATCATTTAAATAATGCAATAACATATAAAAATGACTTAAACTATATTTTATATATAAACATTCTAAAAAATTGTGTATATGCTTTCAAAAGTATATTTTCAATTATACGATTATTTTTCAATTTTTATTCATTAATTAATAATATTTATTGGATAAATTGAGAAAATCACTATATTTATATATTGAACTACTCAAAATATAATTAATAGTTTGATTTTAATTTATTAGTATTTATTATTTAAATTATAATATTATTACATGTTTATATATTTCAACCACGTAACAAAAAAATAATAATCACTAGTATAAAGATGACAAAAGACGATACATTTTAACAATTATTATATATGAAATATCATCGAAAAAGATGTGATAACATTTTTTGAAATTATTTTTTACTTCTTAATGGTGGTTAATTTATAATTGTTGTCATGTTTTTTACTTTTTAATGATGATTAATTCATTGCCACCATACTAGATTTGTTGTGACAACAAGATCTACTGTGACGGATGAAGATTTACAACGGATGAAGATTTACAACGGATGACATATGACAACGATTATACTTATGATCGCAGTCATATTAGTAATTTATAATGACAAGTTAAAATTATTGTCAATTTTACAATTTTTAATGATAGATGTAATAATGATAGTTGTATTACTGTAATTAAATAACCTATATTATAGTAGTGAATATTTAAATTATAATTTTTTATTTTAATATTAATATGTAAATATTAAAAAAATGAATCCATCTTGTCTATTCTTAACTTACCAAATTAACATATTAAACTTATGAATCAAAATAAATTAATAAACAAAGTGATAAGCTCATAGCTAAACTTAACCTACTTTTTCACTCCCAACATAAATAAATAAATAAATAGAGAGACTAATTTGATAAAGATTACTTCCAATAATGTTTTTTTATTTTTATTTTTTTTTAAATTCACATGCTACTTTGAGAGTATCTTATTATTTCAAGGGATTCAATAACTATTTACTTCTAATTTTTATATACATTAATTATTTTATTTAAATAGAATCTAATTATTTTTAAAATTCATGGTCAAGTTTTATCCCTGTTGCATTCTAATATTCATTCAAATGATAATATATTCTAATTTCATATACCTATCAGGTCCATATGAAACATTGTTCAGTTATTACAAACTTAAAACAGTTGCTAATACAACCCAGTGAGATTTTTAAAATGATATTAATTTTAACAGCATATTATGAGTCCAATTATATGTTTATTTTTTAAATTAGCTTTGGTATTGACAATAAAAATTTATGCAATATTTTAAAAGGACGAAAATGTACAATGACAAAAATTATAATTTGCCTCATTAAATAAATTTTCTAGATCCCAGTACTTAGACAGACTATATATTAATATATAACATTTTTCTTATAATGTATGATACATGATATAGATATATTTAGGGTTTTTTTTTTTTCAAATTACTTTTTTGAAATTACCTTGATGGATTCTGATTGCAAATAGGGTTGAGAGCAGTACTGATTGCAGACACAGCTGGTTCAAATTGCATAGAGAAGTAAGATTCGATTTTACGCGGACATTTTCAGATATGAATCTGTGTACATGCAGTGAGAAGGACGTGACATGACCAAATTGAATAAATGAGAAGATTTGGTAGATGAGAGAAAAAAAAGAACATACATAAATAATAAATAATATTAAAATTATCTTTTAATTAAATATTCATTTTTTTATTATTTAAAAAAAAAATTCACCCTATTAGTGTCAATTTAATGTGTTATTTAAAAAAAAAATTCAATCTTATTCAAGAAACATATTTTACCTACATTATTATTAGACTCTTGAACATAAACTAAACATTAATTATAGTATAATTATTAAATATTTATATAGAGGCAATTAAAAAGTGTTTTTAAATTCTCATTTATCATCATAGTTTTATTTTTTAAAATCTTAAAAGAAAAAACATATTTAAATTATTATTAATCATGACTCTAAATAATATAAAAATTCGTAAATGTATCAGAATATATATGAATAAAAGATAAGTAACCAAATAAATTAAAATGAATGTTACATCAAACTTCTCCTTAAACATCATTTTCATGGTAAAAGGAATATCATTGTCTCAGTTTTAAAATGTAATAATACTAAGATGATACTAGAAATAAAAGGGGATAGATACTCTACAATATTTAGGATAGGGAGAGTATACATACAAATAGGTCACCCAAAGTGAAACATGGCTCGTCTATAGGGAACACCCATTATTCTCTATTCATTAACAGAACCAAACATTCACAACGTTTTATTTTGGTCCCCATTTTCTGTACTACATATACTTCAGAACCAAAAAAGTACGAATATGTCACAATTTATTTCCAGTTTCAATCAACTTATTGTAAGATGATACCAACAAATTTTCCGGGACCATATATGCATGCATCACCATGGTCGTGCATGTGGATGTGGGGACCTTTCCGATTCAGTGAATTGAATTATATTAACATTTACTCTAATTATTAGAAACCCAACACTTTCCATGGCTATTGAGAATTAGGGATCAAAATACAGTTCGAATATACCAAATCTTGTGAAATATGAAACTTGTCAAGTTTAAGATGAATATGTAATTTATTTATAAGCATTTGTATGTTATATATAATTTCAATTAGAGAAAAACATTAAATTAGATTCTCAAGTAAAATATTATTGGTCTTTGTAAAGTTTGTTAAAAAAAAAAGTTGTTGTTGAAATTTTGTTGTTTCAACTGAACATAAGGAAGGTTATTGCAGAGACAACTTTTCGTGTTAATGTATTTGAGATATGGGATCATTTACATAAGCAATGTCCATGTCCAATCATTAAGGCATTACTGTGCACATATAAAAATAAGGAATAATATTTATTTTTTAAATTACATAACTATTTTTTAAAATTAAATTAGACTCAACCTAAAAATTTGATATATTTATTAGAATTTCTTTTGGTCATCTCAAATGAAATATACTTAATAACTAGATTTCATAATTTATTTCAGGGATTTTATTTATCTCCTGTCTCCAATGAGAAACTTGTTAACAAGAATTACTTAATAATTAAAATAAATATTTTTATTATGAATTATTTAAAATTGAAGAAAATTATTTAAAATTATAAAAATATTATTTATATAAACAATTCTAATCAAATTTTAAACAATTTATATATAAAACTTATAATAAAATATTTATATTTATTTCCAAATAATTCTTACTAATAACTCCCTTTAAACACGTTCTTCTTCTCAAAATCACAATTAGGTGTGGATGCATTACAAACATTAAATGTGAGTACATTTTTTTTTAGATAAAGTCTTTTCAGTTTTAAATTCTTAATATATTTATGACCTTTTTTGGAGCAACAGTTAGATTTTCCACTTAAAATTATTAACATTGAATAAATCTATATATATATAAGTCACCTACCCTATTAATTTCATATCCGAATGTCAAGGGCTTACATGTTTTCAATGCAAGAACATGAATGGTACGAAAAAACTGTGAAATTTTCTTCACCAAGTTTTCAACATGTCATAAAACAGAAGAACACTATGATCCAGCTCATGCGCAAGTAGTTCTTTTGGAAAGCTGTCCTTTGCAAACTTTTTGTGCTTAGGATCGATGTCCACAATAAGATTTGTAATCATATTTGTTGACTAATCTACATGGATAGAAACAAAAACCATACAAATGAAATGGATCTTACTTTATTTTTCTGCTATAAAAGAGTGATGCACATCTTTCACTTTCCTATTTTTTCCGCCAGACTTGCTACCTTTTTGACCATAAATCAGTTTTTGGTTTACCCTTTTGCTATAGTCATGCAATTTACCTGTTGTTTTTTACTTTATCTATGCCCTCTTTCTTTGCCAAAACAATGGCTTGTTTTATGTTGCACATGTATTTCACTTTATCAGTATAAATTTTAAAAGAGAGAGAATAAGAACAAGAAAGAAGAAAATGTTTCTTCCCATTTGAACAAAGTCGTATTTTTGAGACTTTATTTGGTAGAAACATAATTACTTTCCAGAAAAAATAATACAGAACAAATGTTATTCATATGCTACATGAATTATAAGTCTCTTTCTACACTTTTGGGGTGACAGAAGTAAATCAACATTAAAGTAACAGCCAATCCATGTACCTTATAGAACCAACATTTTCATGGACTTGTTACAACACGTTGGTTTTACATATATATATATATATATATGAATTATTAGCAATTTTTTCAACATCTGAACAAAATATTAGGAGACTATGTTCCTTTTTTATCAGTAAGTCTAAGGAAGGAAACGATTAATTGGACATTGGTATAATAGTAGTCTTCAGAGAAAAAGCAAATTATTGCAGAAAACGTAGCTGGATTCCTCAAGCCGATTACTTACTCACTCCCCATGATGGATCAATCGCTAGAACCTGTCATTTTCACCTATAGTTGAATACCTTTAACAATATTACAAATAATTTGGACTATTTACACGTTATTGTTCCATGTAGAAGAAATAATAAAAAAATAAAATAAACAGCTATTCCCGACACAACTTAGGAACCATTTCCAGCTTTGACGGCACTAATTCCTCGTTGTCGTCCCATGTTTACGGTCAAGAATATCAAGTTTGCGCTATCGAGAACAAAACACAATTCATTACAGCACGAGAGGCACACACGTGGGAGTGAAACCAGACACTTGATAGCAGCAATATATATGAACGAACTCAATCTATATATATTTGTGTTATGGGTCTAATCATGATTCCACACCAAGACATGGAACAACTTTTACGTTGCCCAAATGTCTCTTTGGAATTTGGATTTATCATGAAATGAGTAAAATTACATAAAATTTTAACCACAGAACGATTGTGTGTGCATGTTTTTTTTTTTTTTTCCTAAAGTAAAATTAGAGGTGTCTTGACTAATTATGACAAATGTGGCAGCCAGAAACTTTAGTGCAAGAATATCTACGACAACCCTTTTCTTTTTGAATGAGTATTGTGTCTTTGGAGAAAGTTCAAGATAAGAAAGTTAGGTGCAATGATGGTGTTATGCGGATTGAGGAACACATAGACAACAAACCGAGAGAATGTGATCAAAGGGGTGGCTCTTTTGCATTATTGACAAACATGGAGTTGGTTTTGTACTTAGCTGGACCTAAGAAAAGGTGCAACTCCAAAAAAAGCAAACTCAATAATTTAAGGGCCACTTTCGTATCGTCAAACATCATTTCACTGAATTAATCATTAGTCTTCTTGTTAAATTAACCACTTTCCCTCTTATTTGCTCAATTCCTTCTCAAATTCGCAATATAGATCCAAAAGCTACCGGTTGGAAAGGTCTTGTTCCACTAAGATACAGAAAGATGACAGATAAATGGCCCCCACATGCCCCTAATTAATCCCCAAAATTCCTGCACTAATGTCTTTTTGCAAAACAACATATTCTGAATCTTAAAACCCCATCTTTCTTTTTCTTTTTCTTTTTTTTTTCTTCTCCTCCCACTATTACTTTTTTTTTTTCTTTTCTCCCCTCCCTTTCACATGCAAATTTAACACATGACAAATGACATAGGCTATGGCGTGTTTTGTTTCACATCAGATATTTTTCATCCCTTCTTCATCTCATACATGATTTCTTACTTCTCAACCAACTTCCAAACACGTTTAGCACATCATGATCCACTTCTAGGTATCACCCCAAGCAGCAAAAACTGGCAAGTGAGACATTGAGACTGGCCTCATTTGAGAGGGAAACCATGAGCTAACAGTTACACCATTAGCAATAGGGCTAGTGACAATCTTGGAACCCAGTGGAGGCTTAGGAAAGGGCAAAGTGGGACCCGTTTTGTCAGGACTACCCTCCCTTGAGCTGCTCAAACTGGTGACCAGCGAGGAGGGGTTTGAAAAATGAGTCCCTAGCTTAGTAGACTCCTCTAGCATGGCATGGCTAGATCCTACCGAGTCAATCCCAATGAGATCTTGTAGGGACACAGAGAAAGCAGAACCTCTATAATTTCCACCCTTCATGGTTTTCATGTCACAGTTGTTGCTTGACTGTTGCTGATGATACAAACCCATCTTCCAATCTGATGAACCATTCTCATTACTGTCATTGTTGTTCACGGTCTCAGCTTCTTCCCTACTTATGACTTGTTGGCTTGACCCAACATTGTACTCTATGGCCTCAGCTCTCGGCTCACTTTCCTTGTTTCTTCTAGCTAACTCTCCAGCAAGAAGGGTGTTGCTCGCCATGATCCTCTCAACATCGTATCTTGATATGTCAAAGTTGGTGACAGCATTCACCCCACGAAATTTGATTGCAGCTACATCATATGCTTCAGCTGCTTCCTCTTGAGTGCCTAGTTTAATTCATAAAAAATTATACTATCAACATCAAATATGACTTTTGAAATAATTTTATTGTACATGACAGTGAATGTAATTAAAATAAAGAAATCCAAAGGGCGTTTAGAAGAAACTTGAAATTTCTTGAGATCATTCTTGTGGAGATATCACTATTTAAATACCACTTTTTTAATATTTCAAGAGAGAACAGCTTTAAAAAAAGTGATTTTTTGCAGTTCAAAGTGGCTATATCAACAGCCTTATAGCAAGCATTGCCAGGAACTATTATAATAGCATTAATAACAAAGTCCTAAGAATTTATACATTACTGTTTCCGGTTCATGATTCGAACGCTAAAATAAACCCAAACCCCACTATTGCTGTGAAAGATTTGGCAATGAAGTACGAGGAAATGCAACAACTTTCCGGAAGGACTTACTGAATGTCCCAAGGTAAAGGTCCTTATTTCCTGCAACTCTGCCAATCCTTGCTTGCCACCTGCCATGTTGGTGGTGCCTGTGCAACATTAACCCTAATTAACCAACATGTTTAATTTCTGTAATTCATAAAAGAAAGTGGCAGAGGAACAGCATGAACCTTGTCACTCCTCTGTACATTGAAGCACCCCTTGAAAACCCACTACTCTTTCTGCAAAGCAATCCCCATCATCATCATTAACCAATAATAATCATAATAATAATAATAATAATAATAATAATAATAAATATAATAATGATAATGAAGATTTTGTGTGCACCTTCTCAAGTGGGCCACATATTCCTGCCTACTCATTTTCTTCATTTCTTCAAGTTCAGTTTGGTAATTTTCGAGCTGCCAAATAGCAAAAAAAGAAAAAATGAGACTCAAAATAGCGATTTTGAGCCAGAAATGCCACCTGAAATTGAACTTACTGGGAAGTTTATGTGTGTAGAAGGTCCCCAATACTTGAGAGCCGCAAGATCATATGCTCTTGCAGCTTTCTCTTCCATATCATAACCACCTTCAGTTCACAAATAAAAATTCACCCCTCATCAAATTAGCATTTAGAAAAAGTAAGAGCATTGAATACGCAGACCCTTTGAAAAGGAGTGGTAGCTTACCCAAATAAACTGTGACATGCAACGTTTTGTTGAGTGGTCAATGGTCACCCACATTGTGAAAACACACAATAGGTGAAACAAAGTTAGTGGGCACAGCTCAAAAAACAACGAAAAAATACTTCAAAACAAAAATGGTTTTTAAATTAGCAATGGCTCTAGTTTTTTGGTGACTAACCCTGTCGTCCTTTCCTGGTTTGCCCTTCCTTCTTGCAACTGTTGTCCCACAAATGTGCTTCATATCTTCCAGTCCATCTATGCCTGATACACAACCACCAAGAAATCGCCACAATATTGACTTAAAAATAAAGCAAACAAAACAATAAGCTAAACAAAAAAAAAAAAAGAACCACCATGAATTTGACTAAATAAACAAAGTATAAAACAATTAAAAAGTGGAACTAAAGAGAGGATCCAGTAATGAGAATTATTATGGAAAAATTGGACCACTAGAGTCAGCCTAGTGGCAATAGTTTCATTAGTTTACATGAAAGTTCAGTTTCAAACCTCATTTTTACCATTGTACACCAAAAGAAATGAAGTGAAGTGAGGCGAAGTGAACTAACTGACCTTGTCACACCTCTATACTGAGAAGTTCTCTGGCCGAATGTGTCAATGGATTTCCTATGCACAGGTTGCTTCTGGCCAAGCTTAGCAGACCCTCTCTTTTTGGCATCCGCAGCCACTGAATCAGTTCCAGAAGAGGAGATCTGAGTTGGAACTGTGACACAGCTAGATTGAGAACCAGGACTCATAGACAAACTCAAGGACTGTAACTCCCCGCAACCAACACCTCCAACACCAACATTCCCAGAAGCACCATGACCCTCCCCCATGCCACTGCTACAATTCACTGGATGCTGCTCCAGATTCTGCATAGTGGAAGAATATTCCCTTGGGGGCACCCAGTTTTTGAAGCAAGCAATGCCTTGTTCCACTACTTGAGGCATTTGGGAGCGGCAAACTGCGGCGTGGGGTTGCTTGGCTTCGTCCTCCACTTGGTAAATCCCAAGCCCTGAGTAATATGGATGGGTTTGTTGCCTGAAGGGGTCAGAGAGAAGATCCAAAGAAGAAGGATGGTCTCTGTTGGTTTCAGGTTCCGCATTCTGGCTACTATAGTAGCTGTCTAGGCTTAGAGCCATTGCTTCTCTTCCATGCCCTCCATAGCCTTGAGCTCCCATAGTTGCACCACCTAGGAAGTCCTCTAGTTTTGGAGATGAAGTTGGCACCATCACTTCAACAAGACCAGAAAACCTTCTTAAAGATATGCATATATTGTAAATCGCAAAGCAATATAAACAAAACCAAAACTTAGCTGCACTTCCTAATATATTTTTATATTACCTTTATTCAATCAAAATTAGTGTTTTACTTCGATAATTTATATTATAAAAAAATTACTTTGAAAAACAGTTGGAGAAAGGAAAATTTTGAATGCATGGAAGAGGATAAGAAGGCCTACCTTGGGTTTGTGATCTGGTGAGGGCTTCCATAATGCAAAGTGACCCATCTGACTTGAGGGGCATCATGGCCAAGGGAGGGTGAAAGCCACTGTTTTCTCCAACACCATAGCAGATTCCTGGGGTGTTAAGATGTGAGGGGGAAATATAGAAGTTTGTGGGAACAGTGTTGCAAGGTGCTGCAGCAGTAGAAGAAGAAGCCTGAGGATGATGATAGTAGTTATGGTGATGATGATGGGAAGGGCCAGGAGAAGAAGTAACTTCCATTTTCATGTGGGGTGAGAGAGAGAACCCCAACCAGTTATGATTGTTCCCATCATCGGTGCTGCCATCATTCATGGACTTCATCTTTGCTTCTTTTCCTTGTTTTTTCTTCCTTCCTCAACTTAATTACTTGGAAAAGGTTTGAAACTTACCACCAGTATCAGCTAGGCAAATCAATCATTGGGTGGCAAATAACCAAATCATATCAAAATAACAACAGTAATAATGGCAACAATAATAGTCTCCTTGACAATGGAGACTTGATTTTTGTTGTACAGCAAAAACAAGTTTTTTCTCAAGCCAAAAACAACAGCCAAACCTTGCAAACTCTCTTTCTTCCTAGTAACAAAACTGGTCTCTTTAAACTTAGCAGAAGGAATAAGTTACTAGCAAGTGATGCTGGGAGCACCCCACTTCATTCCATAGGGATCTGTGTAGGTATGTGGGTATGTATATATACACACACAAGGTCTTTTACCTTCTTTCTTTCCCTTTTCTTACATATTTCTTTTATTAAAAAAAGAAAAGAAAAGAAAACTCTGCCACCCCACTTAACTTTTTCTTAAACCCTATGCTAAAACCCAGAATCAATTAGCAAGAAAAAGCCCAAAATGGTAATGGTGTGATGAACTTTTTTTGGGTAGCTTCTGAAAACTTGAATGCTAGTAGGTGAATCTAGTTCACACATAACCGAGATATAGACCACGGGAACTGATAAAAGAATCAGAATTCAGGTAGCTAAAAAAATACTATATTAAATATTTCATTATATATATATATATATATATATATATATATATTTACACATATATTACATAATAAATGATTTAATTTATTAAAATAAATCATTTAACAATTATTTATAAATAATTTTTTACTCATCACACATTAAATTTTTTTAGATTGTTTATAAAAAAAGTATTATTTAAATGATATTGTTTTTATGGTGACAAGGTTGCAAGCAGGGGAGGGGGCCATAGATTTGACGGGCAGGACATATCTGCCCATCCAGTCACTTCATACAGTACGCCCATTCTGTGCCACCTGCATACTGCAAAGTCTAAAAGCATCTTCTATTATTTATTTTTTTTATTTAGTAACAAATAAAAATATGTATTCTACTCCACATATATAATTATGTTCAATCATAAATTTGAACTAGAGATAATAATATTTCTTGTAATTTTTAAATTTTAAAAAATTAAAATATAAATAATAAAATTAATTGAAGTAAGTAAATAAATAAATAATAATTTAAGTTTAATGATAAAATAATAGGTATTTAGTTAAATATTTAAAAGTAATTAAACGAGAGATTAATATAATGTAATAAAAAAATTAAAATAAATAATGAATTAATCATTTTAATATATGGAAAGACGTTGAATAGTATAATAATCTGTGGTAATTAATAAAATAATATATAATACTAATCACTCCGGGTACAAGAACATAAAAGTAAGATTTTCATTATATAACTAGTAATCTATATCAATAATGACATTATGATTTAATCAACATCCATGTTGGGATGTTAATGACTATCAGTTTAACTAGCAAGTCAAAATTATAGTACCGTTAAATAAAAAATTTAAAATATTTATTTTATATTTTTTATATAGCTTGTCAAAATTATTTTTATAATATAACATTATTTCCTTAATTATTAATAATAAATGCAGATGCACGTGGGATTAAATAATCAGTTGTGATTAAATAAAATGTAGTACAGTTCATTTCCTTAAATGCACTTGCACTAGGAGAGAAATTATTGGAATGATATGGTGTGATTATTCACGGGTCCCTGTACTTTCTTTTTTGTACATCTATCACATTTTTAATTCATTGTAAAACTACTTTATTTTTTATATAATTAAAATGTTAATAAATATTTTTTTATGTGTAAATTATATTTAAATTTTAATATAGATATATATTATAAGTGTAAGCAAATTTTGATCACAAACTTTGAATTTATTTAAAATGTTTATTAAAAGCTTATTTAAAGACTTAGACGTATGGCACAAGCCTTGGATTTAATTAATCAAATATTAATTAAGATTTATAAATTATCCTCAATTTATAATGTACAATCGAATTACAAATTCGTACAAAATTAACGTAGCGACAAAGACATTTTAATGAAAATTTTGATAAAATAGAAATAATCAACTCCTTATTAACTTCTCAAAGATAACTATTATCTTAAGAAAAATAGAGATGGCTTCAAGAATGAAAAAAAATTGAAATTCTAAAAAGTATAAAGGGAAATTATATTCCAGACAGAAAGTATTTATTTATTTATTTATTATTTTTTAAAAATTAAAAGAAAATATTTATTTAATTAAAGTATACTCTTCTATATTCATAAAACTCGTTTCTTACATTTAGAAGCAGGTTTAAAAGAGCATTTAAAAAAAATATTTTATCTGTGTTCAAAGTATAACTATTTGAGATTTTCAACAATAATTCTCCAACTTCAAACAATTTTCAAATCAAATTCCACACCTACCTTGTTTCCTAGGGTACAATAAAATTTTCAATTTAGTTTCTCTTACCTTACAATTTTGTTACTCTTTGGTGCAATACAAAACAAAAAAGAAAATACTAATTAAGGATGCTCTAAGATTGCTCACAAGAAGTTTGATTAATTACATGTTCAAACCCTACATTCAAACCATGCAAGAGAAAAAAATAAAAGAAAAAGAAACCTACCCATATGTTTTGTACTGTCTTTTTTTTTTTTTTTCTTTTTTCTCATGTGTTCAGATGGAGAAAAATGGACTAATATTAGAGAAGTTAAAGGTTTCATAGAGAGTTCAAAAGAAAGAAGAGATATAATAGTTTTAAAATAAAGAAAAAGGCACTATTTATTTTTTTATTTATTTTCTTTAAAAACTCGTCTAAAAATATTTATTTTTCATTAAATTAAACTATATTATATAACAGTTTACTAAAAAAAACAAATCACTACACTTCTATCATGGTTTTAATAAGATATACACAATTTTAACTTATTAACCCCGATTTATATTTCAATATTTTTTTTAACTATTAAATATTTAAAGTTCTAAAACTATTAATAGGTGTATGTTGATTCTTTGCTATTCAAAGTAACCTTTTAAAATTTATGACACCTATTTTTTGTTTTAATCTAAAAATAGTTACATATATCAATAATTTGTTTAGTAAGTTTGATTTTTTTAACTTATTTTATATCAAATTTCATTTAAAATTTAAAATTATGTATCTTATAAGTGTTTACGAAACAATTTATTTAAACGTTTCATAAATATATAATTTTCTATTTATTTGAACATAAATAGTTAATGAATTTTTAGTTTTTCTAAGAAAACTTTTGTATAATAAAAACATGTTAAAAAATTTAATTATTTTTTTCAAAATGACCCTACATATTAAAAATAAATGCCACAAATTATCTTAAATTAATTTTACTTACAATTTAAAAGGAGGTAAGTTTACTGATATTTCGAAAAATAAAATTATATGACCAATTTCATCGTTTCAATAGTCTTTTAATTTTTAGATATTTGAAAAATATTTACAAATAATTCTTACGTAGTAATTTTTTATTATTTACAAACATTACATTATCCCTTTTTCAAAAATGTTATTATAAATATAATTTTTTAAGGAAACAAATTATATAATTTGAAAAAATATAAAAATGACCCGTACAATTTTTTAATTATATATATATATAGATCTAATCATTTAAAAAAAATTACTAATAATATTGATATTTTAATATAATAGTTTAAAATATTATTTTATCTTAAATATTAAATAATGAGACGAAGAATAAATTTTGTACTCTCATTTTTAAATGTTTATTATTAATAATTTTATATAAAATGAAAATTTTGTTAATTCAATCATTAATTATCCATGTTAAATTTTGTTAAAATTAAACAACAATAGTAACATGATGATAAAAATGATGAATGTTTTAGTACATTTTGGGAAGTATAATTGAATTGAATTAATGTCATTGTGAAGCCAAAATCTATGATCCTTTGTGTGAGAGTCAATCAAGATTTGTCTACAAATCTTAAATTATGAGATTATACCAAAAATTTGTCTACAAACGTGTGATTGGTAGGGAATATTGGATATTATGAGGTGTGATTGCACCCACATAAGTGTTATAAGTTTTAAATGTTGCTTATTATTATTAAGTGATAACTTATGAATGAAATATAAAATCCAAAACCTCTCTTAATTTATGCAAACATTCGTCTATTTAACTTTATTAAAAACATGAACATGTTTCTTTTTTGTTTCTTGAATGAACTTATCATAATTCTTTTTTAAACAATAATACTAGAAAGTAATCACGGTCTGCAACTCCTGTGCAATTAAAATGACATTCTTATTATTTAAGATAATACCCAAATAATGATAAAATAAAGATAAAAAACTTTACTTTTTCAACTGTCTCTTTGTGCATAGTCAACAACTACTTCCAGACAAAAAGAGAAAGTGGGTCTTTGATAAGTTTCAAATATTCCAGAAAATGATGATCAAAAGGGTCCCAAAAACAGACCTTTATGACATTTATGTATTTTAGGTTTAATATTATTCTCTTAGTTAAATTATTTCTCTTCACAAACGTATCTCTTGAGTGTGGGTATTCTCTTAATTTTTTCTAAGGATAATAATGTTTTGGAAAACAGTTAAACAACTGTGATGTTTCACCACACATGAACAGTGCATTTTACTTTCACCATTCTAGTTTTCTTTTTTTTTTAATTCTTTAAGTTTGTTTGACAAACAATAATTAAAGTTATATATATATATATAGAGAGAGAGGAAATTTATTTATTCTAAAATTATATTTTAATTTAATAATTAAAATAATTATTATTTTATATTATTAGATTATAAAAAAATAATTTTTATTCTTATTTTTGAAAAATTTATTATATATAATATAATTATTTTACATATATATAATATAAATAGTATATTAAAAACATATTTTATTGAAATATTAAATAAATAATTGGTAAAATATATCAAATATTACATATAATCATCTTTGATGTCTTCGTCAAACTTAT